GGGGGGGGCAAAGCAAAGTCGCGAACCGTAATTCAAATCGGCCAGCAACAGCAGCGGGGGGGTCGGGGGGGGGGCACTCGATTAAAGGGTTTCTAATTGCCACTTGTATTATCAATTAACCGGACTCTCATGTTCCTGCTCCTTCTCCTCCTCCTCCTTGTCCAGACCTTTACCCTCCTCCCGACCCGCGACTCACCCACCGAACCCCCGCGCGTCATTTGGACGCGGTCCCCAAAGGGTTAACGGAGAGCAGCGGGCGGCCCCCCAGCGGGTGTCTCGGCCTGGCGTCTCGTCTCTGCCACGTCTCGCCGCCGGAGGCCCCGGCCCGCTGCCCCGCAGGCTGCTGCGCACCCTAACCACACCTCCGGAGGGTCCGCCAAGGCCTGCCGAGGGTCACCCTGGTGTGGCCGTGGGGCCCGGCCCGGCCGCACCCTTGGGGGTGTGCTGTGCTGTGCTGTGCTGTGCACCCTTGGGGGTGTGCCGGGCGCCTAAGGGCTGAGATGACAGGCCGCTGCAGACCGTGCTGCTGGATGAGGAGGCTCGGCCGTGGCGCCCAACCGAGCGGAAGGGTCGCACTCGCCGAGGGGAAGGCTTAACTACGGTCTGCGTCACATGATGCGCGCCCATGTTCACATAAACGTCGAGCGCCAAAAGGACCACCTACGGTTGAACGTTTTCCTGTGAATGTTGCGAAAATTAGTACACCCTATATCTCAGCATGAGATGCAAAGTTTTGTTTTCTGGGGTGGCCTTCTTCTGCCCACGGGTCACCGGCAACGAAATCGGTCCTGATCTCCGATTCAAGCTTAGAGCTGAATGTCTGTTTAATTTAACTTGTGTCCCTGTTCATCCTCAGTCTGAGGATGTCAGCATTGAGTCCTGGCAACGTCGGCATGGCGTAGAGGTTAGAGAGAAACGGGCGTGGAAGGGCGGGGTAGGGGCGAGGCGTGGCGTGGCGTGGCGAGGCGTGGCGTGGCGTGGCGTGGCGTGGCGTGGCGTGGCGCGTTGCGGCGCGGATCGCGCAGGGCGTATTCTGTAATCGCATGAATGGCTCGTTGGGCACGGACTGGCACTGGGGCCCGGGCCGGGGAGTGCGGGTGGCACGAGGCGGGGTCCATCCCATCCCCAGCCAGGCCCCTCCAGTCCCCTCCAGGCCGGGCGGGGCGGGGCCGGGCGCGGGCCCCCTCTAGAATACGAATGCGGGGCTAAGCAGGTGCGTTAAGTGACTGTGAATAATGAAGCGGGTCGATGTGTTGGATATCGCAACATCGTCGTGCGAATGCGAGTTGGTTGGGGAGGGGGATATTTGCCGGCTAGCTTCGTCGTAGAGCTCGTAGAGAGACTTCCGTGCAAAAAAGAGTAATTCGGGAGTGTAGCGGGTTTTTTTTCATGCCGATGATGGTTGATGTTAAGAGTTCCTAAAGGGGTGTATTCAGTCATAGCCCAGCCCCCCATCCCCTTAAGAACGTCTGTTTCTTGAATATCCTTCATCCTGGTTACTAAGATATTTGCCACCCTCTGGCGTTAATGGCTCGACGGTGTGAACATGTGTGCACAGATTGAAAAGAAATTAGCCGGTGTAACCCTCCACGCTGCTCATCCCTGCTGGGTCCCCCAGCAGCACACAGCTGGGGACGCTAGCAGGCGATCCCCACGCAAGCGAAGCGAGCGAGCAAGTCCTGACCTTGTGCTTCTGTGTTACAGACGGCACCAGGGCCGGAGCACGCTTCTGCAAGGCGGCCAAGGCTGCTAAGGTCGCGGCGCGCGCAGCTGCAGCTGCCGCAGCGGTAGCGGCGGTAGCGGTCGCAGTCGCTGCCACCTCCACTGCCTCCAGCACCACCATCACCACCATCAACCCGGCGGCCACTGCCACCACCGACGAGGAGGCGGACGAGGACGCCGACGACGAGGATCCAGACGACGACGAGGACGACGTCGACATCGTCTCCCGTCGCCCCAGCGCCCCACCCGTGGAGGATGACGGTGCCTATGAGGACGTCATCGTTCAGGAGCTGCAGGAGAAGTACCTGCAGGAGCTGCAGCAGCAGCGGCTGCAGGAGTCTGTCGGGGGGACTGTAGGGGAGGTGCAGCTGCCCCCTCGCTGCCCCTACTACTACGCCGACCTGCTGCTGCCCCGGGCTCCGCCCCGAGAGCACAGGAAGAGAGGACACGACACAAGGTGGGTTTCTAGGTTCCATTGAGTTAACCGCTCGCGGCCCGGCCCGCACTGACGTGGTTGAAGGGTTAACGCTCGTTCTGTTGCAGGCGTTATCGCAAGAGCGCGTCGGTCGACAGCGCGACGCCGCCGGGCTGCCCCCGCTGCTCGGCGCCACTGTCCGCCGCGTCCCCCGGGTCCGCGCCCGGAGCGGACTGCCACTGCCAGGGAGGACGCCGCTGCCTGCCCGCGCGCGGCTGGTCGCTCATCGAGGATGGTAGTGGAGGCATGTCGCCCGTCAGTGGCGCGCCGCCCCGTATCCCGGAATGCCTTGACCTCGGAGACGACATGAACCGACGTCTACATCTGTACGAGACGGCCTTCGACTCGCGCGTCGCTGCGCCGCTCGACCGCCGCGGTGAGGACGTGAGCAACCACGCCATCCTGGCCGTCAGTCCGGCCGTGTCCATCGGCAGCCAGGACGGCACTCCCGGTAGTGCGTCGGGCGTCGCGGTCCTCAGCTCGTCGCTTGGAGGCCTTCACCTCGGGTCAAGCGGTGGGTCGGAGCGCTCCAACTCCCCGCTGAGAGGGTACTCGCCGCCCCCGCCCGGGTCGGCGCCTTCCTCGGCGCCTCTGCCCGTGAAGTTCCACGGCCACGGCTCGCAGGGCCGCTCCATGCTGTCCATACGCTCGGCGCCCTCAGCGCCGCACCTGGCCACCAAGGCCGTTAGGGAGATCAAAGGAAGGCCGGGTCACCCGCGCCCCACTAGCCTCGCCATGACGGCCTCGTCATCGACGGCCTCCTCGACGGACCCGGCAGCGGGAACGTCATCCCAGCAAGACCTACCCCTGGCGCTAGCGAGGCCATCTCGCGCCAGGACCATCCTGGACTTCAAGGGGCGGCCGACGGGGAGGGTGGACCGACCGCTGTCACTCATCGCTCCCCGCCGTCCTAAGTTCTCCTCCACCGAGTCGATGGCGACGTCCTCCTCTGGAGGGTCTCTCGAGTCGGTTCGGAGCTCTACCAGCGAGGGGGAGAGGTCTTCCTCCTCCGATGGCCGTCCTGGGTCATCGTCGTTGTCCTCTCACTCCGAGGACTCCGCTGGGCCTCTACTGTTGCACGGGACGAACTCTGGGCCGACGAGCAGGTATGTACGCCACGATGCAGCCCATAAAGCTCGTGTCCTCCCTCAAACCTTCGCCAATATCAAAGGTTTCTAATGTGCTGTTCCAGGTTATACAGCAGCGCGAAGCTGCACATCCTCTCACCCATATCGGACAAGTCTTCCCTCGAGCCGTGCTCCGAAACATCCGACAACAACCGGAACAACAATTCAGAGCGCGCGTCCCCGGAGCTCGTGAGTGGAGGTGGCGGTGACGGCACCCCGACGGGTTCGACGGGGCCGCTGCCCGGGGGCAACGGAGGTTCGGCGGCTGGCACTCCGACCGGAAACACGCCCTCCATCGGTCTTAGCCTGAACCTGAATGCCGACCAGCAGACCAAAACCGCGAGATGCAGGAGAACGCCGAACAATAGGAACCTCAATCTGAACGCCCTGTCCCTCCATGGGGTGCAGTCCGTGTTCAGCGTCAATAACAAGGTTTGACCCAGCTACCCAATATCAGTGAGAGTCATGCAACTTTTAGAATCACACATCACACCTGCGTGTACAAAACACATTATTTCGCCTCCTACAGAACGGTGATGGAGAGGTTCTCGGGTCGGACTCTGGCATCTCCGTCGACGGCAGCAACCTGCGGTGGGCCAACAACTACCAGCAGGACCTGGAGCACCTCCCGTTTGACATGCCGAAGCTGCGCCGGCGAAGGGCCAATCCTAGTCTGGTGAGTGAGCCTCGCGTACCTAGCGCCTGGTGGGTAGGCACGCGCACAACACGCGTGTCAGGGGAGCCCACGGGCGGCCTACCCGTCAGGCGCCCGGCGCCCGTCCTGCCGTGCCTGACGGTGTTGTTGGATGATGTTATTCGCAGGATACGACCACGTCCGGGAGCGCCACGTCGGTGGAGGCTGGGAGCGCGGGCAGCGGGTGCGTGGGGCACGAGGAGCTCCCGTTCGACATGCCCAAGCTGCGGCGCAAGCTGCGTGCCTCCCTGACCCTCGCCAACTCGTCCGAGTCGTCATCCGCCAGCCAGTCGTCGGAGCCGCAGGAGGTGGAGCAGCTGCTGCAGGACCTGCCCTTCGACATGCCTAAGCTGAGGAAGAAGCAGATCAGCCGCTCCTCCGAGTCGTCCTCTACCAGTCAGTCAGACCCGTCAGTGGGTAAGCAAGCGTGGCTTCTTATTGCCGCCAAGACATACCCCTTACTGTTCCGTAACTGTACCATTCTAACTGTTGGTTTTGCAGGTATTGGCGCTGTGGGCAGACCGGCCCTCTCTCTCAACCTGGCTGCTGGGCTTGGCCCGTTTGGTCCATATGGAGGCTGCAGTAGCCTCGGCACGGGGCACGCTGGTCCGGGGGCGCCTGCGGAGAGCTTCGCGGAGAGCTTCGGCAGTGGGGCGTCAAGCGCGTTCGCGCCGACGCGCGCCTGCGCGCCGCGGGGAAGGCCCGGGCTACCGGGACTCAGCCTGAGCTTTGGCTCAAACTCAATCAACGCTCCGTCCGCCCATATCGACACCGCGCTGCCTCTAGAGCGCCAAGGGTACGTCTTTTCCATTGGAACTTCACCGAATCACCAAATACATCTTTGTCTTACCTGGGTCAACTCTTACAGCTGGTACCTCGGAGCTATTTCTCGTTTAGAGGCAGAGAGGCTACTTCGACAAGCTGGCGAGGGTAGCTACCTGGTGCGGAATTCGGAGTCTACGCGGCAGGACTTTTCTTTGTCTCTTAAGTGAGTCATTTTGTTTAACGAAATATAAGCGTACTTTTATATCCCTATAATTGCTAATTACACTTTTATCTGCTACAGGAGTGCTCGAGGTTTTATGCACATGCGTATCCAAAAAGATGAAAATGGTCGCTTTATTCTAGGGCAGTTCTCCCGCCCTTTCGAATCGGTGCCGGAAATGATTCGACACTTCTCATTGAATCGCCTGCCAATCAGGGGAGCTGAGCACATGTGTTTACTGCATCCAGTAATTCAGCCCTTGTTGTAAAATGTCATTGAAATCCTTCCATTCCACCTTGTTATTTTCTGCATTTTAGTTAGGAACTTGTATAAGAGAAAAATAATTATGTGACTCTTTTGTTTTGTGCATCAGATAGAGATTTAACAGTTAATTTCTGCAGCGCTCCGGGTTGCACCAGGACAGTGTCTGACTCTGACCCTGACCTGGTGCAAAACAGTCTGGCCTGCACGTTTTTCAGATATATGTGATGTACAAAAGAAAAAGAAAGAAGTGATACTGTTATTGTTCAATGCAATTATTGTATTTATAGTTTTATGTTGAAAGTATGTAAAAAGAATGAGGTTTCCAAATTGATTATACCTCTGTCTTGTGCATCTATTTCTGATCTGATTTTTTTAAAGAATTCAGTCCTATTTTAATGAGAATAAGATTTCAGTTTGAAAATAATTATTTGTAGACTGTAGAAAGACAACAGTGTGCCCAATTGAGATTTGGTAAGAATTGTATTGGTAGGTTGTGAAGCTGTGATTTGATTGATAATTATTAGATGAGAGTACGGTTTGAATTTTTCACTATCTAATCTTTGAATGTACTTCCGTATACAAATTTTAATATTCTGTAAAGTATCTTATACCCTAAAGTACTATGTATTTCTTAGATATTGCAATATCTATATCAATACGGATCCAGTCTGTATCAGAGTCAAGAGGAGAGCACTATTCAGCATTTCTTTTTGTTGTTGAGTTACTTTACAGACTAGAATTACGTGAAAGTTAAAACTGCTGTAATTTCCCAATTGTTATTATTCATCTATTTTTGGCTTTATTTCTCAGTAAAAATTGAATAGTACGTACTGTAGGCTGTAGGTGGTTGTGATGTCAAGCATCCCTTGATTTTTTTTCTTTGACTTTGTAGCAGACAATTATTTTGTTCTGAATTTCAAATGTGTATTATCTAATTCTTTACCATTGGTAGAGGTACCAGTCTTCCCGTGACTGCTTCTAGTCTTACAGTCTAGTCGAAATGCTCTCATTTGCAAACCATATCAACAAAACCTAGACTTATGATTTATTTGAACACGCTCTAGTCCAAAGAACGTGTGTAGTCATTTAGTTACTAATTTATGTCATGTAGCAACAATTAAACGACTGATTTATACCAACTTTCTTGCACCCATTTAAGCTACTGTGATGTACTGCATGAGCCCCTCTTTGTATTCCTCAACTCAGGCGAAACAAATCATACTTTTTAACTTCACAGCCCAGGCATTATTTAACTGCTCATTTGGAGTGAAGAGAGCAGGAAAAGAAGCTAATGACATTACTCACATTGTTTTTTATTTAAAAAAATAAAAAGCCATCCATGAAGAGACTGTAGCTGAGGCTTCTGATCTTACACTGAAAGGTTTTGAAATATTGTAGTGTTTTCTGTGTACTGTTACCATATGAACAGCAAGGAGTTACATATTAAGTGATCATCCATTATTACTTAACATGACAGTTATGTGCCATATTAACAATAAAAGAATAAAAATCACGCTGTTATTTGTTTTGTTTTTAAAAACTAAAATGCAGGCGCAGGTACTCCACCGCTCCCCACCATCCTGCCCCGCATACGTAAGACAGTCTACAGTTCTACATACCCTGCCCCACACCACCTCTCACCTCTCCCCAGGATTACTGAGATCTCGATTCGTCCTGCGGCTCGTCAAGCGGTTTGAACGGCCCTCCAGGTATGAAAAATCCAGCGGTCAAGAAGTTCGGGTTGCGCGACGAAATATCGTGAATTTAATCGTTCTAAACACATTTCAGGTCGCTTAAGTGCTAAATTAAAAACTGCGAATGTCTCAGAAACATTTTATGACATGTTTGAAGTCCGTACGTACAATATTTCGCGAGTGACAAGTTTCTACGAAATATGGTGTTTCCGGGCGGGTAGTGCATTGCAAATTGGATCCATCGAGATCTCAGTAATCCTTCAACGTTTTGCAAATGTGAAAACTGTTTTGGAATCTACAAGAACCAAAGCTTGGCGCAGGCTAAGACGTCAGACCGCTGAAACAACAGAAATATTTTATTTTTCAATCTGAAAACAGAGGACGCTCCGGCGGCCATCTTGCCCACTTCAAGTTTATCGCATTCTCTCTTTTCGAGGTGAGTATAGAAAAATCGCACCCTGCTATTCTGATTCGGGATGATCTGTAGAACATTTGATTCACTGGTGGTCGGCGGGTTAAAAGCGTTTTTAACCTCAAAAAAAATGAAAATAGGGTGCCCTGTCCCGTCTCTGGACCCCGTAGGTCGCGTTCAACTCGCATTTTAAAATGTTTCCGGTTCGATTCAGTGACTTTTATTTATATCATTAGATTCCTCGTTCTTTTCTTTTTCTAGCGCCATAAGGCGCTTTGTTAAAATGAGGTCTGGTACAGGAGATATGACAAATAGAAAAGAGAGCTGCAGCGCGCGCGGGCGCCGCCCCGGCCCAGCGGCGCGGCCGAGACAGTGTGTCAGCCCGGCCGTAGGGAGTTGCTACCGGCTGATTCCGAACGTCTGAAAATTGCGTCCTCGCCATTTCCATCATGTGCAAGGACTGAGTATTGTAAGGTCGGTCACGTTAAAATCAAAAACAATCACAAAATAACAAAAAAAAATCCTAGCATTAAAAAATGAAACTAAAATTAGGATAAAATGCACAGACTACTACTAACAAGTACAAGGGGAGCAAAAAAAAGTCCAAAATGCCCATGCCGAAACCGTCGCAACAATGCACCAAACGACGAGAAACACGATCGCTATATATGCCCGCTGGGCATATTCTCTGTCCGATTCCCCGGCACCCGGCATGCTGCTGCTGTTGCCGTAGAGCAGTCTGCGCCAGTCCCTCGGAACCGCCTGGCTGGGGCCGGGTCGCGGGCCGCGGCCGCGGGCCGCCGCGTCATCGCTGGGGCCGCTGGGCGCTGGGGGCGCTGAGGGCTGCGTCGGGAGAGCCTCGCAAGGGGGCTCGTCTTGCAGTTCGTCGCAAGGGGCTACCATTTTCCTAGCTTCGTAGCCGTCTCGGTCCTGCACAACAACACTGGATGTAGTACAGGAGGCACGCAACAGATCTCTAAACATTCGGTCCCGCGAAATCATTTTAAACAAAAACTATCTGCCTTTAACACAGATCTTATAAAGCGGTTTCATTCCATTTAGCGGGTTGTAGTTAGTTCACTAGTGCAGTTCGCATGCATGATTGCGTGAGGCTCACTATTTAGCTGAAATTTTGAATTTGTTGCTGGAAAACGGAATGTTGAATTTTTACACTCATTAAAATATTGACTGTGGTAGCTGGACACACTTGCGACAAGGAAGGTATCTGAACTGAGACAGCATTAATATCTTACAACGCACACCAGTCTGTTCAAGCAAATGTTTCTCTTGAAGAGCGGGACCCATTCGGTTATCTACAGGGCGAGGAAGGAGTAAATCTGCGACATAAAACGTTGCAGTTCGCCGCATCGCCTACCTCGGTGAGCTCGGCCCTCGTCGTCAGCAGGAGGCATAGGGCCTTGGTGAGGGGCTCCTCGGGGTTCCGCAGGGTCCCCGTCAGCTCGCGGCCGCCGCCCCGCAGCGTCACGTCCCAGGACTCGCCGGTTAGCAGGGTGAGGGCGGGCAGGGCCTGCTCGTCCCGACACTGGTCCTGGAGGCCCTGGAGCTGCTCGGCGGCCTGCGGCAGCGCGCCCTGCAGCTGGCGCCTCAGGGCTCTCTTGACGGGCAGGACGTCGTGGTCCTTCCAGCAGCGGGGTGACGGGTCGGTGCGGCAGTCCGAGCACCAGCCGCGGGGAGTGCTGAGGGGCACAAGTCAGGCCATGAGGCTCTCGAACACCACCCTTCCGCGGCCGGCTGCGCGCGAGCGAGCTCACCTGTCCAGCCTGACTTCCTCCAACAACCTCAGCGCCAAGAAGTTAGTGGTGAGTCCCTCCGCCGGGCCGTTGAAGTCCTGCGAGGCGAACGGGTCAGAACGAGTGTAACGAACGAGTGATCCGGGACTTTGCCCGTTGCCACTCACCCGGCGGCACGTCGGGCAGCTGCTGTCGGGCAGCCGGCCCAGGCACTGCAGGCAGGCCGTGTGCCCGCACGGCAGGACCTTGGGCAGCCGCTCGGCGCCGTCGAAGCGCTCGGTGCAGATGTCGCACTCCAGGTCCATGCTGCTGATCCTGATCGCCGAGCTGCAGGAGGCGCAGGAGGCAGGCAGGAGGTAGTCGGCCGGCCGGGGTAGCGCCGCGGCGGGAGCGGGAGTGTCTCTGCAGCGCGGAATAGCGCGGGTCAAGCCGGTCAAGCTCAGCTGTGCGGCGGTGACGTCACGGCGACTCCTTCTTTTCCATCGGTATTCCCATCAAGGTCGTTATTTGACTCTTTGATTCCTGACCAACTTTTCCATCGGTATTCCCCTCAAGGTCGTCATTTGACACTTTGATTCCTGACCAACATTTAAAGCAAACTCGTGACAAGACATTGCAAACATTACCCCGCCGCCCAAGCAGCGGGCACCTGGTACGTACACAAGCTTAATCTTTACTCTCTAGTCGGTCGGGCGAGGCCTCGGCAGGGCGTCCTAACCTCTCCGTCCTCGTGCGGCTTGCTCGCGTCCACAGGTCGGCTCGCGGCTCGCCCAGCGCCGAGCACAACCAGGGCGAGATGGGCGACTTCGGAGGCGGTTTTCAAGTTCACAGGAGACGCGCCCACGGGCAGGCAGGTTTGGCAGAGGGGCACGGAGTTCACTCGGGCTGCGCTGGGCTGGGCGTCGCATACGCCGAGCTGACCACGCTGATCTGGCGCTGCAGAGTGTTGACTGTGCCGTCACGGACAGGTCGGGCTGGAGGGGGGAGGGAGCACTCCGGAGGGAAGGCGCGCCCAAGGTGCCCCTTAATCCACCTTGGGCGAGCCTCGTGTTGTGCGTAAAAACGTTAACTGCAAAACAAAGCTATTTAGCCGAACTACACAATAGGAACGGTTTGTCGATGGTTGCATTCTTCAACTCAAAGGATCGCCCTTAGATGATGCAAAAATTGCGTCCGTCATCTGCCGTTTCGGAATTGCCGATGTTAGGTCCTTGAGCGCCTGGTAGGTAGGCAATATCTTGCCGACAATGCATGCGTGTACCGTGGGGTTGCCTACCCAGAGTAGCGCAGGCGCCGAGCTCTCGTAAATTGCTGACTGATGAATGAATCTGGTGATGTGCTGTTGGTAAAGAACGAGTCTTCAAATCGTGTGTGGGTGAATTTTGTTTCTTAATGTGTCCCCAACGCTTATTTGAAAACA